CAAACGTCAGCTCCTATATAAAGCCTTTGCCCATCCATATTAGGTAGAAGCAATCATCTCGTGATGTTTCTGGGCTTTGGATGCAGTTCATGTGTGTGCACCTGCCTTCTCCCCTCCTGAATCACAGACTTTGGGCCTCCTTCATCTTTGTCTCCCCAAAGCCCACCAAGGGACTTTCTTCCATGCTCCGTAATTGTTTGCTGAAGGCAGCTACAAAGTGCATTTGGTAAAAACCTTGTTAGTCCAGGAGAGGACAGTCAAGGCACCAACAACATCACAATCCAGCCGGGGTTAGGAAATTATCGTTTCTGAGGCATATTGTTCCCAAGCCTGGCACTGGGCATCCTGTGCAGACTAGAGGCAATTGTAGACAATCTCTGAGCTACCAAAAACCATTATTTAAATAAGGAACTTGATGTTTGACATTTCAAAGTGCATGGACATTGTCATCATAGGAAAAATCAGAACTGTGTTGGGTTTCCTCTTATTTTGCCATTTATAACTGCTCTTATTGTGAATTACATATTGTAGGGCCTGGAGGGCGGGGTTGTTCATAATCTTTTCAGCCTCTAAAGAGCTTCACACTGCCCCTCTGAGACCTCCTTCCAGCAGCCTCTGAAAGCTCAGCTCAGAAAAAAAAAAAAGTGGAGATTCTATTGTTTCTCAGTTCTGCCAATTTAAGGCATGATTTCAGAGAAATCTTCCAGCCATTGTGTGTCTAGCTTCCTGCAATAGGAAGGTGGAAAGAATAACCATTTAGCACCTCATGACTGGTGAGAAATAGCTGGTGGTTAATGAATCAATGCAAAGGGTTTCTCAGATACTGTTTTCATTACTAATGCCCCATTTCCAACCGGTGAGAGCAGAAGGCCCAGGGGTTGGTAGAGGAAGGTATTCCAACAGCCCAGGATGGAAAAGGCACCACCCTACAAAGGCCCTTCCACTTGCCTAGGGTTTCCCTGCCATTCCTGAAGCAATCATGTTCCTCCAATCCCAACCCTGAGCCCTTTGCAAAGACACATTGGTTTTGTATTAGCTGATTTCGCCGGCACACTCAGCTGTTACAAATAACCCATTTACCTTCATCCTCTCTTTTGGAATTATCCCAGAACAAATATCTTTTTACTTTAAAAATAGTTTATCCTATTATTATTTTGAATACATATTGAGCACCTTTATAGATTTCTTTCATCTAATGGTTGTTAGTATGATTATATTATTATATGGAGATATAGTTCTGTGATTTCAGAAGCAAATCACTTCAAAGATGACCCACCAAGTTTAGAAGTCTATTTAAAAGCTGTCTCTAAATGTGTTGCAAAACCGTTTATTTAACAGTTACTTAGTAAGTGCCCGACCAAGAGCCCTGGGGATGTGAGGATTATAAATGCATATAAAATATGTACCCTACCCTCAAGGAGCTGATTGTAGGATTATTACCCCATTAGGAGTCTAACTATTAATATGCATGTGTCCTAAGTCACTTTAGTAATGTCAGATTCTTTGCAACCCCATGGACTGTAACCCACCAGGCTCTTCTGTCCAAGGGACTCTCTAGGCAAGAATATTGGAGTGGGTTGCCAAGCCCTCCTCCAGGGGATCTTCTCAACCCAGGGTTCAAACCTGCATCTCTTTACATCTCCTGCACTGGCAGGAAGGTTCTTTACCACTAGTGCCACCTGGGAAGCCCAACTATTAATATAGTCACTGTGTTTTGCTCAACATTTTCCACTGTTGTTGTTTTACTTATTTCAAAATTCAGGGCCTACAGGCAATCCTGAAACAGAGGTACATGTTCCCTAATGTTGCCTCAACATATCAACCTTTTGGCAACATTTGCACAGCCCAAAGTTTGGAGCTGGGAAGAACACGTCTACCCCTCCCCTGGGAGACCCACAGCAGATGGAATCTAATGGCAAAGCTGTGACTGTCACTCTTAAGCTCTCCATGAGCTACTAAACCTCCATTTCTCTTTGGTGGCTTCCTCTGATCTTTAGATGTGTCCAGCAGACTGCTGTACTGAAGCTCTTTATCATTATCTCAACTGATTCTTAGGGTGTTCACCCCACATTACAGATGGAAAAAACTGAGGCCGAGACATTGTATTTGCTTAATGGTCACCCAGCAGTAAGTGGGAGCCTAAAACTCCAGCCCTTTGGAGATCTCTAGTGTTACACTATCCTCAGCCTGACTGACAGGTCTGGTGTGTTCAAGTCTTCACAATGACCATCTGTACAAAGCTGATTTGATCATTTCCACAGATGCTGCTTTGCCCTTTTCTCATGATATAATCAGAAAGCTTTACGTTTGGAAGGCATCTTCCAAAAATAACTTTTCACGTCTTATCTTGTTGACTTTGCTTTCAACTTAATCTCTGATCTGTTTCTAACTTTCTGAATTTGCACAAGCAGAGGAGGGAAGCCACCTGTTTCAAGGTAGCTATGTCAAAGCCCAAGAAATGCAGAAAGGTTTTTAAAGACACTATTTACATAACAAAATGAGCCAAAGAAAGCTGTCTGAGACTATTTTTCTCAAAGGTCAGAACCTGAACTCAAATGTCATGCACTAAAAGTTTTTCCAAGTGAAAGAGCAAATGTGGTCCATGAGACTCAGATAGTTAGGGACCTTCAGACATGAAAGACTATTTGGGAGCTAAAAGCAAAGTTAAGCAGCAGTGTATATACAATTTTGCAGTTTTCCCAATTAAACAATAAATGAAACAAATGGATTGCTCTAGCCTTATTCTACGATCCTGGTCATTTAAACTGTAAATTGACAGTCAATTGTAGATCACTACCTATCACAAGTATGAATTTATTGGGGAGCCCCCATAAAAACAGTTGCCAGAAGGGACCCAAGAAATGCCCACTGCTATGAAAAAATCTACCTAATATCTGTACTGGGTGGGGCCTAGCCTGTGTTACAGCCCACTGATATCACCAATAAGCGAAATTAAGCCCACTTTATTCACAGGTGTACATTTCTGTGCCATCATATGTAGGTGGTTAAAAATGATGTTCAGTAGAACACCATGCAAAACCAAAGTTGAAAGAAAATTGGTTGCTATTACAAGGAAATGCAAATTTAAGGAAGGAATTCTCATTAGCACAGTTCCTTGGTATTAAAACATATTTGGATGCAAGACACCCCACTGTTTGGGGAGCTCCACAACCTAAAAAGGTGTTGAGTTTTAGCTGAATTTCCTGCTGGTTTTTTGCCTCTCAGTTTCTACCCTTTAAAAGTTCATGAAGATAAATCGTAAAATATTTGACAAGTGTCACATTTGGAAATTAGTCAGCGTCTGACCGTATTTTCCCTGGGTGAGTTTCCTTCCTTGCCCTTCAACACCAAGGGCATTTGTTTAATCACAGAATCTTTGTTTCTCAAGAGATAGTTGCTGTTTCTCTAATACTTATTCCCCCACCTGCAGTTGCAATCCTTTGTCACAGGACAGTCATTTACACAGCAACCAACTGTGATGTCACGATTGAGGGGATGAGGACAGTGCACAAAGAAAAGAGAAAGAGAATGCTTTCTTCTCCAGGCTAAGTTTTCTGAGTTTTAAAAACCATTGCTTGACCAATCAAAATATTTTAACAGAAAAACCCTATGACAAAGCTGCATTTCCTCAGGGTCTTGGGTGTCACACACAAAGCATTTCAACAGAAGTTGTTGTGTGTTGTGGGTTTGGGAAAGGGTAGAGATTTTTATTTCATTTTATTCTCATTCTGTACTACTGATATCTGCCAGTAAAATACATTAAACATATTCCAGAAAGAGTTGATTTAGTTGATGAAAAATGTGTCTCCGGAGACCAGAGAAGGTACATTTTCTGTCTTACTATCATTTCCATAATAGGAACAATGTTTACATTTCCTCAGCTCATGTTAAAGCCTCTAATGTATTCATGTTCTTTCACTCTCCAGAGGCAGGAATTGAGGTATTTGAGATTTTATTTTTTCAGCTACTGCATCAAGCACTTAAGATCTGACAACTGTGATGTGTATTCTCACTTGGCATTAAAAAATAAAAGCTTCAGTGTTTGCATTTGATTAGAGTCTCTCAGCTTGGTGGCTGATTAAGCAGGAACAGGGAAAGCCACTTTCTTCAGAAACACAGCATCTTGGTTAATGTAGTGTAAGATTATTGACGGGCAGAGTCACATAATTTTTATTAAATTGAAGCGATTAGCTCTGCTGAAGAATCTCACCGTGACAGCAAACTCTAGTGTAATAATGAGACCTGACACTTCTCAAACCCACTACAGGACCCCAAATGGTCTCTACTTTGAAATATTCTTTCAGCTCAAGTAGAGGAAGAGCTTCATTCAAATATTCAGCATATTTACCTAAAATTGAGTTTTTTTGCATGGGTTTTTTGTTTGTTTGTTTTTGGAGAAGCGATGCAAAATCAGCATAAACATTTGTAATCTATGGGCTTTATATAAATGATACCCACTGTCTTTCTCCCGGTTGCTTGAAATGCTAACCTAGCTGTTCTCCAGACAGAGGCCATGGGGCCCACCAGGAAGTAAGTCATCAGCAAACTCCCTGGAAGCCTGGAGCAGTGTGCCATTTATTCATTTAACATGCATAAAGGTGTTGCCTACTTCTCCAGACTCAAAATACCTCACTGGCACTTTTATGATGGGGAAGATTGAAAAAAAGATGAAAAGGGAAAGAGGATTAGATTTTGGAAAGGAAAAAAACTGCCATACTCCACGGACTGAACCAACTTAGAAAGAGCCCATACTTGAAAAAAGGGGAATGCACCTTTTCAAAACACAGAGAAGACAATAACGGAAGTCTATTTACATCCTGGGGGGTGGGGCGGGGAGGATTAATGAGTTAATGTTTGGCAAGAGGGAGCCTCAAAGACAAGTTCTGCAGAGGTGCCATTGTCGCTTATTACTGTTATTAATTAACAGGGTGAATGCCAAACAAAATTAAGCCTCGGGGTCTGCTCTCACTTCTTCACACCATATGCGATGTCTTTTGCAGGAGTGATTCGGGAGAGCTATCTCAAAGGCCACGACCAGCTCGTTCCTGTCACGCTCCTGGCCATCGCGGTCATTCTGGCTTTTGTCATGGGGGCCGTGTTCTCGGGCATCATCGTCTACTGCGTCTGCGATCACCGGCGCAAAGACGTGTCCTCCGTGCAGCGCAAGGAGAAGGAGCTCACCCACTCGCGCCGCGGCTCCATGAGCAGCGTCACCAAGCTAAGCGGCCTCTTCGGGGACACCCAGTCCAAAGACCCCAAGCCAGAGGCCATCCTCACGCCACTCATGCACAACGGCAAGCTCGCCACTCCCAGCAACACCGCCAAGATGCTCATCAAGGCCGATCAGCACCACCTGGACCTGGCTGCCCTGCCCACCCCAGAGTCCACGCCAACGCTGCAGCAGAAACGCAAGCCCAGCCGCGGCAGCCGCGAGTGGGAACGGAATCAGAACCTCATCAACGCCTGCACCAAGGACATGCCCCCCATGGGCTCCCCGGTGATCCCCACGGACCTGCCCCTGCGGGCCTCCCCCAGCCACATCCCCAGCGTGGTCGTGCTGCCCACCACGCGGCAGAGCTACCAGCACGAGTACGTGGACCAGCCCAAAATGAGCGAGGTGGCGCCGATGGCGCTGGAGGACCAGGCGGCCACCCTGGAGTATAAGACCATCAAGGAACATCTCAGCAGCAAGAGTCCCAACCACGGGGTGAACCTGGTGGAGAACCTGGACAGCCTGCCCCCCAAAGTCCCCCAGCGGGAGGCCTCCCTGGGCCCTCCCGGGGCCTCCCTGTCGCAGAACGGCCTGAGCAAGCGGCTGGAGATGCGCCCCTCCTCGTCCTACGGGCTGGACTATAAGAGGAGCTACCCCACGAACTCGCTCACCAGAAGCCATCAGGCCGCCACCCTCAAAAGAAACAATACTAACTCCTCCAATTCCTCCCACCTCTCCAGGAACCAGAGCTTTGGCCGGGGAGACAACCCGCCCCCCGCCCCACAGAGGGTGGACTCCATCCAAGCGCACAGCTCGCCGCAGCCCTCAGGCCAGGCCGTGACTGTGTCGAGGCAGCCCAGCCTCAACAGCGCCTACAACTCACTGACCCGGGCGGGGCTGAAGCGCACGCCCTCGCTAAAGCCGGACGTGCCCCCCAAACCCTCCTTTGCCCCTCTTTCCACATCCATGAAGCCCAACGACGCGTGTACATAATCCCCGGGGTGGGGAGGGGGCAGGTGTCGAACCAGCAGGAAAAGGCGAGGCGCCCGCCCGCTCAGCTCGGCAAGGTTCTCCATGGCTGAGTACCCACCCGACCAAGACGGCCGCGGCGGCGCCCGGGACTCTGAGTCCCTCCCTGGGACGCAGCGGGGGGCAGGGACTGTCGACAATTGGGCCGTGCGGTTCGGTGAAGGTTCGCGACGCGGGACTCACCTCCATTTCTCTTCCTCCACTCTTCCCCCACGCCCTGCAGCAGGTTGGACTCACGGAAGACTGCAATCAGCATCACAAACATGAGCCAAAAGCACACACACCCACCCCTCCACCCACGCCCACCGTGTGCGTCTGCACGCCCGCGTGCACACACGCGCGCACACACACAGACACACACACACGTGGATAGCAACGGCAACATCGTGTCCATGATTGCACGGGGTGCTGCCCAAGTGGGCTAGCGTTCCCACCTGCAAAACACGGTTTTTTTAAAAATGAGAATTAAAAAGACAAAAAAAAAAATTCATTGATAATTCTAACTCAGACTTTAACAATGGCAGAAGTTTACTATGCGCAGATACTGTGAAATGCCCACCAGTTACAGCTGTTATAACAGATGAATGCCATGCTGGGCAACTATGTCATAGATTTCTGCTCCTCTCTTTTAATGAAATAACGTGACCGTTAACGCAAGTAACTCTTTATTTATTGTTCACATTTTTTTTCCTTAAGGAAAGGACTCTTCCACATACCATCCTCTGAACAGCTCTTCAGAAAGCCCCCTTGATGGTTAAAACTATTTAACGTGAAATCCATTAACTGGAATAATTGAGTTTCTTTATTTTTACAATAAATTCACTGAGTAAATAAGTCGGAGCTGGAATTCTGAGCTTTGTGTTTGGACTGTCTGATCTCTAGCTAAAGAAAAAAACTTAAGAGGGGAATATTTATTTAAATCTACCAGCTTAATTTTCTGGTCAGGTCCCTGGCCTATAACATGCAAAAGAATAATTTGTTTAAAAGTCCTTCCAGATCCTAACTTCTAAAGCAACCAGGAGAGGAACTTTGAGAATGGCACCTCATGTCCCACTGCTGCCAACATAGCTTTGTCGAGGGTTCCTACTTTCTGTGAAGGCACCAGCTTGTGAAACACCATCTCATTTCACCTTGCATGTGAGACAGCGAACAAAATCTACCAATGGTGTGAACTAATTAATATGCTGGCTGCTACCTTGCATAAATTAATGGTTTGATCACACAGGTTTTTCGTGGGGTTACATCTGTGAATAGCCTGTTTTCCACATGTAAATTTGTGCCTTACACCCTGAGTTGTGTACACTTGTAAACTGTCATTATGATAATCTTTTCCCCCTTTTGAAATAAATGCAGATATTTATTTGAGCCTCCCTCCCCCAACCCCCACTGCAGTCCTCTGGAAGATTAGCATCCAGCTGAGGGAAGGAGGATGCAGTAGTGATGCTTATAGGAGAGCCGGGCGGCACCGCAGCCCGATTCACACTTCCATCCAGTGGTGCCAACTCCAACCACCCTTTGGCCATGCTGCCAAGCATGGATCCCAGTGTTGTGGGTGGCAAAGTCCCCTTTCTCCCTCCAGAGCTCCCTGCTTCCCTTGTATTCTCAGATCATTTCAACATGATGATGTCCTCATTAGCCAGCAGAAAAGGGACTAACGTCCCAGTCCTCATTTCTGCTGTGTCCACTGCCAGAACACGCTGTGTGAGGTTGGGCAGGCACCTGGGGGTAGTCTCCAAGCCATGTGCTAGGCACACACGTGCAATGCACACAAAGAAATAATATGGAAATAGATGCAGGCAGGCTGGTCCCTGCTGTGATTAATGAGTAACTCCAAGAATAAGGCCAACCACAATGGATGCTGCAAAAACGTTGACTGGGGCAAAAGGTTTTTAATTTTTTTTTTTTAATTTCTTTATCCTTTTGTGGCTGTTGTTTGTAGGGGGAGGGGGTGGGGTGTGTGTTTTTCCCCTTGGTTTTCATTAGCTCAAGCACACACAAGGGACTTTTGTTTACTCTATTGCAAAGAATTGTCAACATACTGTAAACTGTGAGCATTGTTGTTGGTTGTTATTGTTTTTTTAAACCGCTAAACAGTATATCTGGTGGTCTCTTTGTCTCGTTTTCATTTCCAGGTTGATCTCTGGGTTTAGTTTTGTCTTAAAAAGAAAACTTCTGAAAAAGACAATCAGGAATAACTTTGAATTGGCTAGTGAAGAGTGGTACCTCCATAACCAGAGTGAGACCCAGGTGTGTAGCCAGAACACATGCACGACCTTTTTATTCCAGACACCCCTTCAGTTTTGCTCTTGTTTGGGATAGGTTTTTGTTGTTCTTGTGTTGTTATGCTTTTGTTTTGTTTTGTTAATGGAATCCGTATTCACACCCTGTGAACTCTCTGCCCTGAAACCACGAAACTTCACTGCAAAGAGAGATATTGTCTGTCTACTTTCTTTAGAAGTGGGGAACTTAGGAAGATGATGGGTATAGATCACCCTGCTGCCTTCTTCCCCAAGCTTCACTCCCACTAGAAATGAGGTGCCGCACCCTCCTGCTCTGTCTGGTCCCCATGTGCGGGCATCAATGCATCAGCTGTGTTACGGCGACCCGGCGACCCGTGTCTGCCTCCCACAACCCATCACTCATGGTGTTAACCCTAAAATGCCCACAGGTATTGAGGTCATCTTCTGCATTGAAGTATTTTTCCTGTTTTCTTTTGTTCCCCACAGCGTGTGGGGGGAGGGTCCCTAAACCTGAGTGTGCCTTTGCTCTCCACCCTTGCTAGACACTGGTAGATGCAACCAACTCAGATTTATATTTGTTGTAAAGTTGTAAAAATATTGTGATGTCACCAATTTTCCTTCCATCTACACATCCCCTAACATCTGATTCATGACTTAATGTATGTTGTAAAAAAGAAAAAAGAATAGAAAAAAAAGGGAAAAAAGACAAAAAAGGCAAGGAAAAGGCTCTTTATTACTTAAAAGTAATAAAACAAGACTGTTCTGCATTCTCTTTTGTGTCCTGAATGCTTTTATTTATCTCGTAATTTCCTCCTTTCTCACCCCTCCCCTTTTGGGCTAGGATGCTTCTCTTTCCATCTCTATTTGGCTTCCAGAGCACAAATCACAATGTAGTTAGACCCATTTGTTTGCAGTACCCACACCCTGCTCCCCAAATTATTGATGTGTTTCCTCTGCCTGCACCCAGCCCAGAGCAGGATTGGAGCAGAAGCCACCAGTAATTAAAAGGCAGAGCACACGTTGACTCCCTCAATTCATTTTATGCATTTTCTTTTTATGGGCTTGTTCATCATCAAACATTTATGGTAGGCTTGATAGTTTAAGAGATCAAGGCTAGGATTTTAGTATGTAAGGTCCACTAAAAATAGATCTTTGCACAGATGTGACTTCAGCCTTTTTACATATTAATAAGGTAGAGGGTGCCAGAGTTTACTCCTTGTTAGCATCTATCTCTTATAAGCCAGAAGACACGGTTGGAGGTATATTGCAATGCAGCACTTGGTTTTTATTTTGCAGGGTAGCATTTTGAAATGCCTAGATCAGGTTTTTTCCCCCTCCTGGAGTATTTTTAAAACAGTTATTTAAATAAGTCTTCAGCTATAGTACTTTACTGTTGACCTTCTGAAATGATTTTTTTCAAGTGTTTTGGGTCAGTTTGAGTGTGAAAAGCTGTGGTTTCAGTTTATACCCCCTCAGTGGTCTGGTCACCTTTCACTAAGTTCTTTCCAATTGTTTAACTTGAATCCCACCCATAGGGCCAAGTGCTATCAAGCACAAAGTTGACTAGAATATAGTCCCTGCCTCCTCATTTATAAGGAGGGGTGGACAATGGCCTCTAAGACTGGGAGATGGGAACAACGTGCTGAGGGAAAGGCCCAGAGATCTGGGGCTCTGCATACGAGCTGGTCCTTATAGAAGCAGTCCTCGGGACGTCTGACCCGGACAGAAGGGCTAACTTGTACAATGGTGCCGAGGGTGCTGTGATTGTAACACAGAAAGTTTAGTGAACCTTGAGCAGGATCTGTGAAAGAGCCTGGCCAGGGCAGGGCTGGGAAAAGGGGTCAGATCAGGAGAGGCCTGTGTACCATGGGCAGGATTCTAGCTGATGGGCAGTGGAGGGCATTAGAAGTCTATGAAGCTCCAAGCACCCGTGTTTGTGTTTAGAAAGCTACCTGGCAGTAATGTGGAAAATGGACTGGTTCAGGAAGAGGCTGCTGTTGGGCAGTGTGCCAAGCGGTATGCCAAGTTGGTAGGAGCAATGCATGAAAACCCCACATCCAGTGTTGGATTCTTTTGGAAACAGACCTGACTCAGTTCTGTGACCATTCCTTCCTTGGCTGGTCAGAAGAGCTTCCTTCTCCTTCTGTGACTGACAGGTTTGTCCTGTCCAGTTATACCCAAATGTCAAATGGAGAGAATGACCAACAGCTTGTCTGACCCTTCTGTTTTAAAAAATGAGGAAGCTGTGGTCCACTGAGGAAAAGGATTTGCCCATGATTCTAAAGCTGGTGTTAGAACACTCTACCAAGCATAAATGTATTACTTTTTACTATTCAGTTCAATTCAGCTGCTCAGTCATGTCCAACTCTTTGCAACCCCATGAACTGCAGCACACCAGGTTTCCCTGTCCATTACCAATTCCCAGAGCTTACTCAAACTCATGTCCATCGAGTTGGTGATGCCATCCAACTATCTCATCCTCTGTCATCCCCTTCTCCTCCTGCCTGCAATCTTTCCCAGCATCAGGGTCTTTTCCAATGAGTCAGTTCTTCGCATCAGGTGGTCAAAGTATCGGAGTTTCAGCTTCAGCATCAGTCCTTCCAATGAATATTCAGGACTGATTTCCTTTAGGATGGACTGGTTGGATCTCCTTGCAGTCCAAGGGACTCTCAAGAGTCTTCTCCAACACCACAGTTCAAAAGCATCAATTCTTCAGTGCTCAGTTTTCTTTATGGTCCAACTCTCACATCCATACAGGACCACTGGAAAAGCCAGAGCCTTGACTAGACGGACCTTTGTTGGCAATGTCTCTGCTTTTTAGTATGCTGTCTAAGTTGGTCAGTCTTTTAATTTCATGGCTACAGTCACCATCCACAGTGATTTTGGAATCCAACAAAATAAAATCTGCCACTGTTTCCATTTT